TCTTGATTAATAAATTTTAGAGCAAAAAAGATCCGCACCCTCACAAAAAATGACAAGAAATAATCAGTAGGAAAATGTGGACATGCAAAATGGTAGGGAATTGTTGATAATTTTTCTTTTAATAATTGTCCAATATGGTCACCAACAGAAATGGAAGAAAACTCCTTACAAAACAACGTGTCCAACTGCTTGATATATTCTACAAATTGTTCCTTAGGAACAATTAACTTACCAAAATTGGAAGTACTTGTATCATCAAAAACCCTAAAATTTGTATATATATTACTTGAAGCTAAGTTGTCTTCCAATAACGTTGTCACGCACAAATGACATGTATGTTTTTCAAAACATTTTTTTAAAAAATACCCACTGACATACGTTACAGCATTGTGTAATGGTAAATTTAGTTTGTAATAGTCCGGATCTTTTAAGTCAAAAAAATGTGTTTTAGGGGATTCTGCACTTACAACTACCTTACACTTAGAACTACTTACATCTATGTTACTTAAAATATCATCTAAATCGTCAATACAATTGCATCCATCAACATAATTAAAATAATTTAAACAAAATAACTTTTTAAATGATCGAGTAAATTGAATGCATTTCCGCTGTGTTGTCATATTACACATAAGAACGATTTCTTCGATTTTAATGTATCCCACAGAGACAGAATACTGCGGATAGTAATTTGCCATCCCTTTATAAATCTCATCATGTTGGTGACATTTTTTTCGTTTTTGTAAACCCTCATATTCTTGAAAAAAATGTAGCATCTCATGGAGGAAAGTTAGTTGATGTTCAGCACCTGTGAGGGGTTTATTCATCGTTTTGCGGGCGTTAAAAGTGTAAGAATTCAAAAGGTCGAACAGTTTGTCAATTTTAGAAATAAACACTGCAGTTGCCATCGCTGTTGCAGGAAGTTCATTTAGTGCAATGTATGTGTTTAAACTAGCAGCCACAGTACTACTCATAACTTGAGCTGCTAATTTTACTTTCATCCGCTCGAAGTTGTTGGGATGTATGTGGCTATCTGTTAATTTAGGTGCCAATCGAAACGTTTGTTGTTTGTCTCTAGTAAAAAAGTGTTCCAGAAATGCTTTATTTGTGTTGCCTTCCTCTATAGAGAACGTTTTATCGAAAAATTGGTTTCTTGTTGATTTTAATAAATGAGGAGTGTCAAATAAATAAAAAATTGTCTGACCGTTAATTTTAAAACAGGTTTCTTCAGGACTTACACCTAACTTAGTGGATAATTTAATAAAATTTAATCCTTGATCTGTAATAAATGCTGCTACATTTAATCCAATGTTTTGCAGTTTTACAATAGAAGTTTCAATAATTTTATGCAAGTCATCCACTGGACAAGAATCGTTAATTAAGAAATATGCAATCGGCTGTTTCCAATTCACATGTATCCCCCTTATCATTAACAGTAAAGCACTATTTGCAGGCATGTATTGTCTTTGTGCATTTGTACAATGGAATCCTACAATTCTGTCCTTACTTGTGTTATAAAATAAATTTGTTTTCAAACTAACTTCATCAGCACAAAGTACACAGTCCTTTGCCAAATTCGTCATTGTATCAACTTTACTTTTTACAACACTAAAAATAAAGTCATTCAGTGCTGGTGTCACTTCCCATTTGCTGGTGATTTTGCAAAGAGTTGATTTAGACGGCAAATAAAAAGTTTTCGCTAAACTGCGATAAACTTTCGGCCCAAGGAAATAAATATTTAGTGCAAACTGCTTAAATTCGTTTGTGTATCTAAATCCTTGTGGGTGTCGTTTTCCCAACTATAACTGCATTTTAATGAAATTTACCGTTCCTTCATTGCAATTTTCTTTACAAAAGTTTATTACATCTTCTTCGTCAAATGTTTTCTGTTGAATATCTGTCAGTGATTTTTGAAGAAACTTTGTCTTCTTTATAAGCTTCCTCTTCCTTGGTGTCAAGGCAGACAGCTTTTGGGGGGTTTGTGAAGCCACATGACCTAAATCTAATATGTTCATTAGATAATGATACAATCACAAGGAATTAGGTAAGTAAACAATTCAATTTACCTTTGTCAACTTTTGAGCTGCCTGGTTCTGCGTAGGGTACTTTTTCTTTTATTATATTTGCTGCTGCACTTTCTGTTAACAAAACAATTTCAATTACACAAATAATATCAATATTGTCCACAAAGTCTTACCTTGTAGTGGACCCACATGCTTGCTACTATTACCTACAATTCCTTCTTCAGCAGCAGTTCTGGTGTCTGCAAATCACATGATACAAAATAAACAATGTTGAGTTAAAGGATAAATATATAAATGTGATATGTATTACTGATTTAATACACATTAAAAAATAGCAGAGTGTTTACCTAGATACAACGACGGAAAGGCTTCAGAAGTTAGGCGGTTCTTTTTGATATTTTTAAAGAATCCGTCTTCAAAATGGGCACCACAAACTCTTGCATTTTTGTAGGAGCCATCTAATAAATCCACTCTTCCAATTTTTTTTAACCACAATGCTCCTCTGCAAATTACACAAACATCTATTAGCTTTTCGGGAAAACTAAACTAATAGTAATTTGTTGTAAAGTACAATTTACAATAAATATGACACAGCGTCTCCTTGCTTGACAATATTAACAATGATGAACAATTCAATGGGCATTAGACACTATTTTTCAAAACGTACCTTTCTCCTGTCGGTATTCGGAAAAAACTAAATTCATTTCCAGCTACATTACTGTACACATTCTTGCATGTAGACACTGCACATTTAAACTTCATTTTTTTATAATATTAATCACAAATTCACAAAAGTCTAACCAAATAAGCTGCAAGCCGTTGTAAACAAAGAAGTTTGTTTACGTTTTCTTTCCAATTGAAGTTTGCGTANCTTTTTTGTCTATATCTATTCTGTTTGAGAGATATATCTCATCAAATGACAAAATACATAATTTTTCTATTTGTTTCATCTGGGATGACTTCTTATTCATTAAAGTAATGACGTCATTTAAAATTCCTGGTTCTACTGAAAATCGTGTATCGTGTGATACGAACGCCTTGAAGAAGTCTGTATAGACTGCATCTATTTGCCCGCGCTTCTCCAGGGCGTCCGTAATATGCTTTTTCATAATAACTAGGTTTGTACATGTCGAACGCTTATCAATAAATCCATGCTGTTTATCGCAAATCATATTTCTAAAAGTAATACTAATATATCGTGTAACAATTTTTTCGAACAACTTTGGAATTGAATTAAGAATAGAGATAGGACGATAGTTCGAAGCGTCTGACTTGTCTCCACTTTTAAAAATTGGGACGATTTTACTCTGCTTCTAAGTATCAGGAAAGATTCCAGATTTTAAAAATTTGTTGAAAAGTATGTGTAACGGGCGTGATAAGGCATATTTACAATTAATGAAAAACATGTTTGGAATCAAGTCCGGTCCGGCACCCTTCCTGACATCAAGCTCAGCAATTTCGTCAAAAACCTCACTCAGTGATATTTCAATTTGATTTAATGAAAAAGTCGAGGTTGAATCGCTAGGAGAGTTTTCGTGAATATTTGCATGACCGACGTTGGCATGATTATAGCTCGATTGAAATTGAGCAGCAAAGAGGTTCGCAATATCTTCTGAGTTGCTAGATACTTCTGAATCTAGATAAACAGTGCTGAGAATGTCCGTATAATCAGTCGTAGAGCTAATGTGATTCCAAAAAGCTTTAGGATTATATGGTATAGATTCTTCGCGATTAGAAAAGTATGACAATTTGTTTTCGTTTTGTAGTAGTTTGCACGCGGAACAAAGTTTCGAAAATTCTTTATAATGACTAGATAATCGAGTCTGTTTGAAAAGTCGATGTTGGTTTTTTTTTGTGTATCATTCTAATGAATGTAATCTGAGTACCATGGAGGGTAAGTTTTCTTCCTCTCGCGACGTCGTGGAATGTACTTGTCAATGAGGAAGTATAGTAAAAATCCGCACAAAATCCGCAACATTAACATTTACATCATTATCATGAAAAAATTCAGATCAGTTAACATTGTTCAACTCAAAAATAATATTGTGAAAATTACCACGCTTAAAATTAAAGAAAAAATTTGAATTACATTGATCATGATCAATCGAGTTAGGTTTTGCGATTTGAAAAGTAAGTGGTGTATGAAACTTATCTATTGGAAGGAAAGGATCAAGTGCAGTTTCGACAGAAATGTATTCGTAATCCGAGAGAACAAGATCGAGAATATTTCCTGAACAAATAACAATTTGATTGTGTTGCCGAATGTTCACAGATAAAAGAGAATCATTAAATTCAAAATTTTTATCACAGTATCCGCGGAGCCTTGGATAATTATAATCACCTACAATGACAAACTTTGCTGATTTATATAGATCGCACAGTCTTTCAATGTCATAAATATCGTCGACTGCGTACGTAGTGCAGTCATTTGGTTCGAAAAATAGTGGTTACCTGGAAAGTTTTGCGGGAGTTTTGAAAATTGGTAATTTTATAGATTTTGATGCGCTCTTTCCGAATTTCGACTTTGCCACCTCGTATTCGCGCAGCCATATGGGAAAAATGGCGCCAAAAATCAGATTTTTGACAATATCTCCTTTCCGACTCATTTTACGATAAAAACAGTTATATACAAAATGAAACTAGAGGCAATTACCTACAATTTATGTATGTAGCTTTTTGTCATAAAGTCAATAGTTTAGGCGTACGAGCGCCGCAAAATGTACTTCAACACGCATTTTGGCCAAAAAAGCTCATTTCATCGCCATCCTCTTCATTCTCGATTTGATCAAATACTTGCTCAATTATAGTCTCCGTTTCTTCTTCATCATCACTATCTGGCGATGGAACTTGCGAGTTACCACAGGTACCGCTACAATTCGTGCATTTAATAAAACAGATTAACCCAGCCTTTCTGCATCCACAAGCTTTCTGACATCCTTTTTTGCATTTGCAAGAAATGAGTTTTAACATGCTTTCTGGACAGCGACTGATCAAGAGTTCTGACCGCCCTAGGCTAATTATTAGGACGCGCCCCCGCTAGGTGTGTTACGGACGGCCTAAAAAGTAGTAATTGAGTAGAGTAGTAGTGTGAAAATTTTAACATGGTTCATACTACCTATAAAAGTTTTCAGATCGATCTGCAAGCGAAACTAACGTTGTCTTTTAATCTACATGACATTCGACCTTAGGGTGGCAAACCATTTTTTAAGCTGACCGTACATAAAGGCAAAGTACCTCACGCATTTAGGACCAAAATCATGACAAGTGACTGCAGGCTACCAAGTAGAAAACCAAATCCATGCCGTGTTTGGTCGCATGACTTGTATTGGCTAAGTTTCTATAGACAACTTAGTTGCCATTGCCATTGACCATGAGCGTGGTCATCTAGTGTGTGAAGTTGCTTCGACTTGAGTATTTTTTAAATATTTACTCTAGAGAAAAAATAAAAATTAAATATNTGTCTGTGCTATCTTTAGTAAAAGTGCCGTCGGGAAGTTTTAAATTTTGAAAACTAATCCGATTTGAATTTTTCCCGCGAATAACTTTATAGGCGGTTCCCCAAGGATCTTTTTCGGAATTACGAGTGCAAAAATCTTTAAATTTATCGCCCCTTGTTTTGACCAAAAGATCTTTATATTCACGAAATGCGCGGTTGTATTCAGCTCGTTTATTTAATCTAATCGCGTCGTTTTTTTCACGTTGAAAGGAGCGACGAAGTCTTCGCGATTCTATTCTTTTTTCAGTAAGTTCCTTAGTCCACCACGGTACACTATTCCTAAAAGATTTTTTAGGCGGCATTGACGCCTCACAAGCTTCTACTATGCAGTCATTTAAAAAATTAGCGCGTTCTGAAACATTGTTTTCGTCGATTAGTACTACGTTTCCTATGTTTTCCCTAAATTTCTCCGAAAAAATACCCCAATTTGCTTTTTTATTGCAAAACCTACGGTCAATCAATTCTGTTTCGTTTTTTACGAATGAAATTTGCCAGGTGATTAATTTGTGATCAGAAAGTGTTTCTTCGTCCGATAAGTGCCAATTTTTTATTACTTTTATTGCTTCAAAATTAGCAAAAGTTATATCGACGAAACTTGATCCGCGATGTCCAACAAAAGTCGGTTCAATATTATTATTTACAACAAATAAATTGTTATTTTCGAAAATTTCTAAAATATTTGTTCCTCTATTGTCATTTATTGGACTACCCCAAACATAATTTTTCGCATTAAAATCGCCTGCAACAACAACAGGTTTCGTTCGGTCAAGCTTCGAGATAACGTGAACAAGTCGTTGCAGAAACTGGTTTTCGTCGACGTTAGCGCCGGCGGGTGGTAAATAGACGTTGACGAGAACGAAAATGTTGCCGTTTACAGTAATTTCAACTACAATTATGTTTTCGCAAGAAACACTTTCTAAAAATAAACTTGCAATATTTGTGTTGCTTACAATGATTGCAACTTTTGGAATATTACTCGACTTTGAAATAATAAGATTATTCTTAGAAAAACCAACAATACGCGATTTATTGACTGTAGGCTCTTGCACAAAACAAATGTCCAACTTTTTATCTAAAATAACTTTCAGAAGATTGCTAGTAGCCGCCTTGCCCTTTCCTAAATTAATTTGACCAAAATTTAAAACGAAATTCGCGTCGGGGTTATTTTTATGGCTATTATTGTCCATAAAAGTCGATGTTGGATAAAATGGCATTTTTTATCCGGTTCATCGTCGGGCAAGACTGGCTTTTTGCGTCGTGGTCTACATTAACCGGCGCATGTTTCTTATCCTTATTTGACCTAACACAAACAATGCACGAAGTATTTTTCGATTTACAATCCTTAAAGCTATGTTTGCCGCCGCATTTACCGCATATCTGTTCTTTAACTTTACAATTTTTTGACAAGTGCCCAAAGTCGTAACATTGGAAGCACTGTAATATAGAAAAATGGTCCCTAGCAAATACACGTTGCCAATTTAAATAAATTGGCCTATCTAGTATCTCTTTCCTTAAAATAGGGTTAACTTCGAATATAGCGCTGTAAGTATCTTTGCTGTTTTTGCTTTCAAACACAGCCAACTGTTTAAAATTAGTTTTAAATTTATCTACATCGTTTCCGCAAAATGTACCGATAAAATCGTTATGCCCTAAAATAGTCTCATGTAAATCTTTCGCGTTTAGTTCTTTGCTAATCCTATCTATTCTAACCCTGGGCCACCTTTTTTTAATTTCCCTAACCTCGACGTCATCCTTTGCCTTGATAAGCAAGGACTTTTTAATTTTCTCTGCGTCTTCCTTTCTTGCGCAGTCTACAACCAAATCACCTGATTTCGTTGACCTAACGTTTTTAACCGCGATGTTGTTTTTAATGGGATCGACGGTACGCATTACAATATTTTTAACAAATTCAGCACTTTTTCCCGCGGTTTTTGATTCTATCCTAACCGGAAAAGAGTTTTCATTAACCCTAACATTATTGACAGTATTTTTTCCTACTTTCAACCTATCCGCATACGAAAAAACTGGCGTACTTACAGTTTTTGCAGCTTTCTCCGTTGCGTCCCTCAGTTCTTCTTCCTTTTTCTTTATGGTGTGCCGCAGTTCCTTGATAACACCCGCCATCTGGACCACGTTTTCCATAAGTAGGTCGGCGTTTTCCCTGATTATTTTCCTATCCGAAACCCTAATTGTTTCCGACTTCATCGGAACCAAACCCCTAACTATTTTGTAGAATCTCCGGGCGTTAGCTGACATCTCGTCTTCCGGTTGATTACCTACAAAACGGGTTTCCTCGCCATTAAATTCGCGTTGGGACTTACCCTTATCTCCGCTTTCGGCGTCCGAAACGTCATCACACCACGCAATATTCTTCTTTCCTTTCTCGCGCTTTTTTGTTTTCGACGTACTCTCAACGTCACTCGACTCACTCGCGACACTTACACTGACTGTCGATGTCGACCGCTTCCGTCGCCGTTCGCGTAAACTCGCCTCGGTAGGCGTGGCTATTCGCTGGCTTTCCGACATCGCACAACCGATCGGCTCGACTGCTCGATGCGAACTCTATATTAGACTGCAGCTCGCTCGCCATGGACATCATTTCCGCGAAGGAAAGTCCCTCCAAGAGTGCGGGGCTCTTGGGGGTAGCCATTTCGCAATGGCTAGCGGACGGAGCTAACCTACTCGTATGGGACGTAGTGTATTTTTTAGAAGTAAGGAAATGATAGGTTGGTTGTTAAAGTGAATACGTGGGGGTGGGGGGAGAGTTCAGAATGACTTTGCGTACTCCGTCCCAAAGAACTGTTGGTTAGTTATAATAAATTAAATAAAACTTACCTAAAAACGGCTGGGCAATGTCTTGTAGACTTGAAGAACTAACAAGTGCGAGCTCTAGTGGTTCGAGCTCGTACGATGACGACGGGCCTGGTCTAAAAGAGTCGCTGGTGTAGTCGTGTGATTACACGGACCGACTCGAGAACGATTATGGGCGTATACGAACGAAGAGTCGCTGGTGTAGTCGATTCAATGCACGGACTGGCAAGTGAACGATTCAAACAGCTAAGGAGCGTGGTGTATGCTACTGCGGTTGCTAGTAGACTTCGACCTTCTGTGGAAAAAACCAGCCAGTAATGCTGGTGGGCGGGCAGTCCCTCCGGGCTATGGCGGAAGGTAGGGCGGAAGGCCCTCTTCAGCCTGCTTTCAGGAATCGTGGGAATGGGTGGGTGGTGGTTCGGGTGAGAAAGTTGAGACGGACGAAATGAAGACAGAAGAGAATGAAAGATTATCTGTGGAATATTACTGCCT